AACAATTTTTATCTATCTCTTGTGTCTACTACCAATGAGTAAAAATTTACATAGTTGAGTAAGATTGTGTAACTTTTGAAATCAATAAAATTAATTATAATGTTCTATATGTACTTAGAATTTTAAAAAAATATTTTTTTACAAGATATTTTGCTAATAAGAAAGATCATATTTTTTTTAATTTATGGAGTGTTATAATCTTTGTAATATGTATATGATTCTTGAAGATCTTTTAGACTCTAAATAATTAAAGGATTTTCCATGTTTTTCCATTTGAATCTTTCCGCCACTTATAACATGAGTAAAAGCATTTATAAAGACCCTCAATCTTTATTTTAGCATTATTGCATTTGCTATGTATATTGTCAATGTTTCTAATACATGGTTGCTAATTTTTTAATCTATGCACTTCCTTAAATCAAGACTCATGCTATAATTTTCCACTTATATGCTTGAAAGGTAACATTGCACTATTATTTCTAATAAATAATAATTAAAAATCTAATTAAATATACATTTCACTATTATTTTTTATTGAATTCATTTACAACAACCTTTGTGGCACCATGTCTATTTTAGATTATTTTTGTATAAGATACATTCTTACCTTTACCAAAAAAATTATATATTTAATTAGATATTTTTTTAAAAAAATAAATATAAGATATTTAGAAAATTCAAAAAATCTAAAAATATGATTAGAAATAACTCTTTTCATTATATCTCATATATTTGATTGAAAAGAAAGAAAGATAGAAATTGATAGAAAAAGAATTTTGAAATATATTTTAATGACATGAATTATAATAAAATCCTATAAAAAAAATATATTCTTGTGATATTTTTTTAAAAAATAAACAAATGAATGATAGTTATAAAATAGAAACTAAAATGACTATTGTTAAATATAAAAGACTAGAGATTCTTGAAATAAGGCTAAGAACAAAAAAGACATTAATTAGAGTTATGAAGACCTCACTCTTACCTCCATATATATTATCTAATTAGAAAAATATATAAAAATATTCTATAGGTCATATAATATGTGCCCCAACTTGCAAGCCATGTATCTAACTTGAATAGAAAGTATCCAACATATGCACTACATGGCCAACTTGTAAACCAAGTGACCAACATGTGTATCATGTGGCCAACTTGCAAAGAAAATGGTCAACATGTGGAATTTGTGGCCAAATTTTTGGCCAAGTTTTTAACATGTCAATCACCTATCAATACTTAGAAGGTCAAATCTGCATTTATAAAGCTTTTAAGAAGCCTATCTATAAGATATTATCAAATTTATTTACTTTTATTTATTTTTTTCTAACTCTTTTAATTTAAATAATTACTAATATAAATATATATTTCCATGATAATATCTCTTCAATTTATTCAATGTGTTTTCCAACTTTGAAGGACTTTTTTGTCAATTCAACAAAAAAAAAATCAACAATAAGTACTATACTTACTCCTTAAATTTATGCACATTATTTAAGAGGTTATATAGACCTAAGGCACATCTTGACTATATTTGGATTGTATGGTGTAAAAAAATATCTACATTTCTTTATTTCTTTAAAAAAAAATACATATGAAATCTTAAAAGACATTCTTTTGTGACTATGATGATAAAACTAATGATTTTTGTTGTTATGACCTTAAAGCCAAGGACATTGTTATAAGTAGAGATGTAGGCTTTAGTGAATGAAGATGTAGCCACTTCAAAGCCACTACCTCTGCTATTATCACTTCTAACTTTCTTGACTCTATTTTTTCTAAGCCAACCTTGACAATAGTCATGTCAAATACACTAGAACTACACAATAGAGACAACTTCTTCATCAAAAGCCTCTGTAAATAAGTATCAAATATTTTTCTTGCTTCTCCTAAGAAATAAACACCTAAAATGTCTTTTCTATAATTCTCACCACCAATAGTGTCATCTAAGTCTTTCCTATGGTTGTCCTTAATATTGCTTCTTTGTGATGCTCAAAGTACATAAGAAACATTCCATTGCAACTTTTAGATTGTAATCTCTATTTCTATAAAGATTTGTTTAACTTGTGCATTCTCAATATTTATTACTAAAAATAAAGTTATCTTTCAAGAAGCACTTGAAGATCCTAATTAATATGGTACATTAGAAATCAAACTTTTGATTATTTATAAAAATAATATATAGAATCTTTTGAAACTTTCACTCAATAAGAAAGTAATCATTACAAAGTAAGTACTTTTGAGCAAGTTATACATATGCGGAATAAATATCAAATTTAAGAGCTTGACTTATTTTTAAAGATTAAAAATACAAATAAAAAATTAATTATATTAAAAACATTATTTTTGCAATCAAATGGCCAATATCTACATGGATTTTGTAACCTCTTTTTTCAATGGTATCCTTGGTATTGTAATTTGTATGCATCAACTTCTTATCTTTATTATTTCTAACTTTAAGCATCTTGTTTGCAAGTTGAAAAAGTCACTTTATACCCCCAAATAAAGTCCATACATGTGATATCATGAAATTGATTATTTTTTTATTTTTTTATTTTATTTTGTGGATGGACCAAGAATTTATATGATCCAAACTTATATTCACTTATAAATAGATCTTTCATCACCATCATTCTTCTTTTTGTAAATGATCTACTTATTATTAGAACTTCACCATTATATTGTCATAATAAAAAAAAAACCAAGCTAGAAATATAAGTTGAAGGACTTCAAGCCTACAAAAAATATATATTTAAGTAAAAATTCAGTATTATACTAACAATATTTTACTTCACCAATAATGCTACATCTAAAGTATTCTTTAAATATTTCAAATAATAGACTACAAACTACTAAAAACTCTTTATTTTGAAAGTATGCCTTTGTCTTCTAGCTTCAAAGCTTAATCCATTAATTCTACAATCTATAGTCATTTAGTAAGAAATTCACCAATTTAACCAATACTTATCTTAACATCTCATATTACATCAACATTGTTAGTAGATACTTCTCTATATTCCACAAAGATTACTGGCAAGAAACTCTCTACATTCTTTTCTATCTCAAGGACTCACTTGACTTTGGTTTGTTTTTTATTAGAAAAAACACTTCCTCTTTTAAAGACTTTGCTGGATCTTTTTTTTATCTTCCCATCATTGACTTTATTGATATTAATTAGAGAGCTTGTAAAGACAATTGAAGGTCTATAGGATCCTACATCATTTAACTTGCCTATGCTTCTATTTCTTAGAATAGTGAATGTCAAGATACTAATGTGTATTTCTCTACTAAGTCTAAATGCAAAGCTATATTCAATAGTATTCAAGAAGCCACTTATTTTTTATGCCTTCTTAAACAACTTGGCATTTCTTTCATCTCTTTAATTCTATTCTTGTATTGACTCAACTATCTACTCCAACTTAAAAACAATGTCCATCTCTATATTTCAATATTTCAACGTATTTTATTATAACATCAATGCCATTGAACTTGCTTACAATCTCATATTTTATGTACACACCAAATTCATTGAAATTAATCATCACTTTGTTCACAAAAGAATTTTCTAAAATATATATATATATATAGAAAAAAAAAAAAAAAAAAAAAAAAAAAACTTTATCATGCATCTACAAAAATGACTAACTAGTGGACATTTTTACAAAACTGTTTTCTTCTTTGAGGACTTCAAGCACCACATCTTTGTCTCTATAACAAAAATCTGCTTCCACAAAAGTTTTGTTTTGAGCTCCTACAACTATTTCCTACCTTCTAACCCTCACATATCTTTTGGCCTCCAATCTACTTCAAAAAAGATCAAAATTGCCATCTTTATATTCTCACATTGTTCCCATGTAATATCAAATCCTCTTCTTTGGATGCTTAATATCATCAACTTCAACTAAATGCAACCTCACCTCCAACATTTACATCAAATTCTTCAACCTTGCCATTGTTAGAGGCTCAAGCACAAAAAGGATTCAATGATTCTATTTTCTAATTATGTTTTGCAATTTTTGTGACTCTCTTAATTGCAATATTTGTAAAATCAAATTTCTTCACAACAACATGTGAAGGAGAAATTAAACTTGCTCTTTCTTTGCTTTTTACACTCAAAGGTTGATTCTTTAACAACTCTCTATAAATATATCTAAATTTAGTTTGCAAGAGGGTCGTGTTTCATCCTTTTCTTTTACTCATATACTATCAAATGTTATATTATTAATTTTCTAAGCCCAACATGCACATTGTGTGAATAACATTGCAACTTGTATCTCAATCACAATGGTGTTGGATACCTGTTCTAACTCAAGTAACAACCAACTCAATCCTTATTTACTATAATAAAACTAGAGAAATTAGTTTAGGATTGCTATGACAAGCTCCTCACCATGTATTTAGAATTGACTCTTGTCAACCATTGATTAATAATACATTCTCCTTGATATAATTTAAGTAACAAAGCATTTTCAAGTGTCTTTGCAAAGACGGTCTTAAGGCTAGATTTGTACTCAGTCAGGTATCACCTCACCAAAAGCGTCGAATCCTTCAGTGACCAATTAGAATTCCAAATTCTTTGTCAAATTTGATTGAGTGAAATTAAGGGCCTTCTCGACAAAAAAAGGACTATCACTGAAGAAACTAATTATTGAAGTTGGGAAAACTGATTCTGCCCACACTCAGCAAAACGGATTTCACACCGAAGGAAAAAAAGGATGCTTGAATTGGAGCTGTGTTGAACGACATTGATGATGAAAGGCCCTCTAACTCAGCTCAGAAGATTAGTCTCCACTATTTCCAACAAATCCTTTCTCGGCCTCAGAATTCAGTAAACGTTCAGGATCGATTGATACCAGTGCTTATATTAGTATTATTTTAAGTTGGAAGACATTGTTAAAACGAAATTCTAATGAGGTGTACCGATTTCCCTGTTATTGTGGGCGTAGAACGAGGATAAAGGTTGCATTGACTGCACATAATAAAGCCACCTCCAATACATCGAAAAGAAAAAGAAACTGAAGAAATAATATTACAAATGAGAACATTTAACAAAGCATACTCTAGAATTATATTTGAACTAGTCAAGGAGTAGTGTAAACCCTGTTGGAAATGGTGCCTGAAAACTCAAATGCTCATTTTTGCCGCTAGATTGATACCAATGGCAACCCCAGATACTCAATATGAAAAAAGAAATGGTTGCGGTACAGGTTGTGATCCTGATAAACAGTCTACAAGAAAAAAGCGGGACCCCCTCGACATGCATTCAAATCTGCCAAAGAAACAACGGAGTGATCAGTTAGATACGAACAGGGAAATTGGTGCACAGCCCACTCAATAATCACCAGAAATACATCCAGTAAAATTTTATTTATAAAAAAAACTATGGACAAAAAACGCTTGAAAAGCCAAATCTAAACCTGACCCTGAGACCGTTTTTGTAAAGACTTTTGAAAATGCAAATCGAGATTTCAGCTGGACAAGACAGCAACATTTCACGATAATACAAATTCCCCAGACTGAAAGAACAAACATCACAACCTTTTCAGACGTGAAACAAGGCAATCCATTACCGAATACTACGAAGATTCTCAATTTGAAAGAGAACCGGCAGAATCCAAGTCACACTATTATCAAGTGAAAAGAACTTACCAGGAAAATCCACGTAAATAACACCTCTGTGATACTCCATCCACAGGGATCCCCTAGCAATAATAGGTATCCTCAAAGGTCGCACTTATAAGACTACTCTTTCTTACTGGGTAGCAGTAGTCATTCGTTTGCTATAAAACCCAATAGGATACCTGACTGAGTACCTGGATGAGTACATCGAATCTAACGCCGTCGCCCATAGCCAACTGCAATCGGCCGTCTCTGCCTAGCATTTCCTAATCTCCCGCCTCCTTCTCCCCAATGTCCCCTGCCCCGGCCCAAACCAGGTGCTCCTTGGTGTGTTGCCCAGTTCATCGGCTGTGGCGCAGCACCTGCACGATCTTCTTCATCCCTCTCATTATACTCTAAGACTAGTCGCTTAATGTCTTGTTTTTCTTCCAGTTCTGCTGCCTCCTTCTGCTTCGTACTCTGAACAAGAGAACATTCACGTGGGATACGGAGCTGTTTCGTCTGTTGCTTGTTCCCTTTCTTCACTAAAACTCGAAACTGTACACTTGTTCCACTTGTTTGATCGTCCACTACCTCGTCACCTGACTCTATATCCGTCCCGCCACTTCGCCCGTGATCCTTCGAATCAAACAGGTTAAGAGGTATAGTCATGTTCAGAGTTGGACGAGATCGCATTTCAAGTTTACGAGAATCTATACTCTCTTGCATAAGAGCGCGATATTCACGATCAAATTCAGCTTCTTCGGCAGGGTCTGTTTCTGGCATCTTCTTCTGCATCACTTTCACCTTCTCTTCTTCCTCTGAACCTGCAGTGTCAGCCCCACCTTCCATCTCCTCTACTTCCAGCTCATCGTCACCTGCAATATACGTGATCATGTGCATCAGCTGAGCATAGAGATTTAACCTTCCATTGTCTCATATCAGAAGTTTCAAGTTGGAGTGACAAAAATAAAAATAGAACATGTTAGTCTGATACGGGCAAATCAAGCCTATGGCACAACAGAAAACTCAACATAATAGTCCATCATTCTTACCCTCATCATCATGATCTGGATACTTGTCTTCTTCCAGCTCCTCCTCTTCCTCCTGGCCATCAGCTTCCATACTTCCACTTTCTGTCTCTGATTCACTATCTGCATCATCGGCTAATCCTGCTCCATGAATTCCTGAAGCTCTTGTTCCAAGTGGTGCGGCTCCAATATTTTGGGCATCCTTGACATATTCCGATCCGGGATTATTCACGTGCGCCTCTCCATCTCCTTGCGTGCTTGGATTTAACGGACGAGAACTCCGATCTTTCTCAGAAGCTGCCAAATTACGATCAACCTCCTCCAACTCAAGCAAAGCTTGATTAGCTTCATCATACGTAGCATATCGAACCATCTTTGGACGAAGATCTGCAAAAAGATCCTGTAAAAACAGAAAATCGTTACATCTTATTTAGTGCTCTTACCGTAAAGCGGTAAAAATCTCCACGGCTCGTGCTATGCTATCAAAAATTAAAAATCGAGACAATATGAGAGTGAGGAAGTCGTTGATTTGGAATACGGTTCAAAGAAAGCAGAGAGAAAAGGTGTGACGCTCATTACTGCACTACTGTACCTGGAGATCAAATTCCACGTCCAAAGGAATAACTCCTTTACTAAGAACATATCTTTGGAAATAAAGTAGGAAGCGATCAAGCCGACGCTTGGATGAACCTCGATCGAAGAATTGTCCACAGGTCTCAAGAAGCGTGATGACCATTCGAAGTCGAAAACAGTCTTCTGGAGGATCCAACACATCTTGCTGGATTGTACATACAGAAATTAAGTGGTAAGAAAGAATTCAAAACCGTGCAATTATTGAATCTGTGACTTCAAACCCACACTATTGTCTACAAACAGAGCGACATCCACAACGGAATGACACCTGGGCATAACTGCCAGACCAGAACATGACATCTTTCAGACCAACAATTAAAATTAACCCAATAATCTTCATGCTTAATATCTTATCACCCACATTATATTTCCATCACCATATCAAGCTCTTCGCAGGAGCACAAATACTGCACTAAGTCCAGGCAAAATTTTATTTATCAGCAAGAAAAAACTGTCAAAAACATAAGAACACAGACTGAAGAGTTGCGTAGGCTGCATTCAAAACATAATTTCATCTTCATAGTAGCTTGTATGGATCATCTGGCATCATGGACAGTTGTTAAATTAATAATATGCGAGTTATTCGCAAAAGTATCTACTAACTTGTGTAGGTGCAGAAAGAAAGATTTAAGGAGATAGCATAATATATTCACCTCTGAAGTTCCATGACCAAAGAAGATGATCAGATAGAGAGTGTCAAAGATGACAGGAGAGTCGATAAGACGGTAGCTATACAATTCTCCAAGAAATCTCATGTATGCGATGCGTCGTTGCTGCATCCCGTACTCATTCAACTCTAACCCCACTCTAATAGCTTCTAGAACCTGGGATCATACAGACAGCCTGAGTTAGTGAGTTTTCTTTCTACCACGCAAAGAAAATGAATAACGAAGAAGCTCACATGGAAACTGATGCAAAACCCCATCCTATTTGGCTTGTGAATCAAGAAGATGGTTTCGAGGAGAAGAGATAAGGATTCTCGTGACCAACTACGATTTCTAGTGCGAAACAGAATGGTGATGTGAGACCGTATTGAATGCTGGGCGAACTAAGCACACAAAGAATGAGACGACTTTCAGTAGTAAAGAGTCGTTACCTCATCAACCACAGAAACTGCAAACGCATCATGATATCGGCTTAGGCCGGCAGTTAAAGAGGCTATTAGATGAACTTGGCTGTATTTTCCTTTGTAGACCTTCATGAAGCATTTCAACAAATACGTCTCACATTCGCTCCATGGAAGCTTTCTCAACTGCCGTAGAACCCGCTCTATTGTAGTTTTATCAAGATCCGCAAACAGTAGTTTTCGGATGTACTGCAGAATACGAAGTAAAGATTAACATCAAGATTTAAGTAGAAAGGAACATCCATCTGCGTTACTAACTAACAGCAATACCAATAATGCAGAGGAGACAATGACGAGAACAAGGAACGTAAAATTAGGGGGATATTAACTACCTGATGTAAGGGTGGACGAACTTTAGAAACACGAGCAGACCTTTCAGGAGGCTTGCATTGATAATAAGCGTTTTCTACAAGAGTACTATGTCGGGCATCCAGGTTCTTGACATTTTTGAGGCGCATTATGATCTCGAGCATATTTCCCATACGTAAGGATGTCTCTGGAAACCGATACAGAAAGCGGCCGCAAGTTTCTAACAAATTGCAGGCAACATCAATATTGTGATGTGTAAAATCATCTAAGCATGACTGCAAAACCACACGCATAGGCATCAGAGAAACAGTCAACGAGGTTATAAATATATAAATATATAAATATAAATAAAATAAAATCAGAGAAAACGCAAAATCTAAAGTTATCCTGGATAAAAGGTCGACCAATTCGAAATGTGGAGCAAACAGTCGCACTGTTGACTAACCAAGCACAAGCGAAACACTTGCTTAAAACTAAGCAAATATACCTTTAAACAACTGAATATAAGGCCTGGCGATGCCACCTTAAACTTCGCAAGTTCACCTAAGAAGCGAATATTCCTAATCTTGGTTTCAATGTTCATTTGGTCCTACAGGACATTGCCACGTTCAAGTGAATACTCAGAAAGACTGCGATTACTGACATGCAATGCCTCATTGAAACCAGAAAAAGACAAGGGATTCAAACGCTTGGCATTTTTACCTTATTTCTTATCTGTTGGAAAATCAAAAGAATATACAATCTAAACAAGAGTAACATCAAAAGCATTTATTTGAACCATACAGAACACAAACAAATAGGTCTAAGCATGTGTTGTTCAGTAAATAGTTTTCAATGCATCCACTTCACAAGGCATTCAACGAAGCACGAGCAAAGAAAGCAGGGATCATACCTTTTTGTTCATCAGAAAATTAAATTCCTCTTCAAGCAGTTGTAGAATCATTGGAGCAACATCCTTCATGCATGTAGACAGGGTAGCAATCATCCGAGAATAATATGGTATAAGCTCCAAAGAACTTCGAGGAACGTTGAAAAGAGTGCGCACCAGCTTCTTTCGGCTGCTTTTTGAGTTCAAATAGCAGAAATCTACCTGCGCAGAGGCAAAATGTGCAAGGATGTCAAAAACGAAAAAAAGTATATAAAGCAAGATCAACAGTGAACTTTAGCTCTACACTATCAGACAACACTATGGACAATGCAACAATAGTAATGAATCTAGTCGTGAGAAGAGATGCATTTTCATAAGTTAAAGAACTTAAAGAAGATAAAAGCTCAGTGAATATTAGATTATATGTTTGTAGTGTAAAGCTCGTGCAACAGTTCATATACTTTCTATGTACTATATCAATAACAGAATAAATAGTGGATATGCAAAATTCACATCAATAAATATTGCAGCTTCAAAAGAAGTCAGAACGTTAATGCTTCAAAACAAATGACAACTACTGAGGGAACTCTGGGCAACATGCAGTCCCACTGTGGAGCTGGAAAAAATTAACAAACTACAGTAACCCAAAAAGAGTACGAACATAAGGAATCATGAGGGGGTCTAGCAAAAGAATTAACAAGCAAAGCAATTGTCGAAAAACACTACCGTCAGTTGGTCGATCAGGTCTCGACTAACACAGCCAGGAAGCCTTTGAAGAAGACTGTCAAGACTAGCACCTTCAACGCCTTTCACCTTTTCTTTCTCACTTTCCTTGTCAGCCTTCTTCTCGCTTTCTTTGTCTTTCTCCTTTGTCTTGTCCTTCTCTACATCTCGATTTCTGTCTTTGTCATCCTTATCTTTATCCTTGGCCTTCTCAGAGACACTGAAAGATGACTTATCATCTGGGGCTGTTGGTACTGTTTCCGAAACTTGAGGTTCTGTTTCGAGAACATCTAAAACATCTAGTGCTGAACCAACACCTTGCTCTGGTTCCTGTTAATGTCTCTCTATTAATGCTCATACTTGAACAACACTAAATTTAATGCAACGAATACGAAGACCTCAACTCCATTCATTCAGTATGCTTCACTCTATATTACGGGTGTTAACAAGTTATGCTCAAGATGGCGAAGTAATTGCTTCAAAATAAACACTTTTAGGCTCAAGTAAAAGTATTTGAAACATCAAAAGCTACTCCAATTGGATTAAGGTCGAAATCCCTCGTAGTCAACTCTACAAGTCCTACGTCGATCACCAAAACAAATGTGAAAAATCCAACGAAAACATATACAAATACACTATTTGAAAAGTTGGACGGACAACCCCTAAATTGGAAGGTAATCGATACACAAATACATTCTTTTACACTTGTCCTAAGGGCCTTTATTCTTGATATCCAAGGCATCACATCGAAACTAATTGTGAAGAAAAAATATATATATACCCACCACTTGCTCTGCCGCCTTTGATGAAGCCTCTGCTACTCCCTTCGGTTCAGCCTCTCCAAGTAACACTGCTGGGACAAAAGCTCTGAAAACACATTCATGATTAGAACACAACGGAGAAGTTCTTGATATAAATAAATAAAATCCCACACAAACCAATGCGGCTCAGCTATTGAACAACATATTTAGAATAGACAGGAAGAGTTGTTATTATACATTACAATATAAAAGATCTTCACATTTGCACACGAAATCAAAGAATTTTAGTTTTAGGTACAGAAAGTACAAACCGTAGATCAGGCAGGTTTTCATAGAAAGAACGAGTATCTTCATCATCCCAAATGGGCTCTGGAGAGGCAGGTTCCTTTCCAGTCGCTTGGGAGGGACCGTCATCTCCTGAGGTAACGCGGGTGGTATGGCCATCTTCTGGCATTACTGGAGGTTGCATATCTATTGCTTCTGCGAGTCTGGTCGAAAGAATATCACAGTTTGTCAACACCCAAACAGATAGTTTTAAAACGTGAGACTATCCGAGCGAAATAGCCACACTGCAAGATTACTCAGAAAAACTCAGATCCAGTAATGATCCTACAGCGGTTCAAAACAGGAACTTACGAAGAGATATTGCGAAAGAGGTGTTCATAAGATTTTCGGAGCTTTTCGTATGCCGTTGCATTTTCTTCACTCAGCTCTCCCTTTGCATTGAGCATTCGTGCGTTCTCCTGTTCCAGCTGCCGCAATGCCTGCCAGGATATCACATTGAACAGAAGTAGTTCCAACCTTAGAAATAACATAAATTCAACAAAACCCGTTACATTTGCCGACTTCAAGTTAAAAGAATTTTGATCGCATGTTATCAACTCTTATTCATGGTAATATTTACAATAGAAGAAATGAGGATCAGGAGTCTAACGAGGTGCCTATTTTAGGTACTGCTCACGAGATCATTCAAAGAATATATATATATAGACAAGCTGACAAACACACGTCAATAAAAATAAATTGATTCAAAATATCTTTAAATATTACGGTTTTAGAATAAAAACAAAGCACTACACAACCGAAAAAAATTACCCCATGCTCTGTCTGCAGGAGTTCCACCACTGCATCAAGAAATGACTGGAACATCTTACGCAAAAGTTTCTTCTGATCATTACTCATGCTTAGCTCCTTATACAGCTGCACAAAGCCCACAAATTCCAATTTAAAAATCAAAAATATATGCTGCGGATATTCACACAAATCAATCATACCAAATCTCTCGATCTACTATTAGGCGCACATGCATTTTCTAACACGTCATTCATACCATCTGCTGTCATACATTGCCCATACGTCAAGAGCATACATGTGGTTTCACATCTCCACTGATATCAAAAACTGCAGAAATACCTAGCCAGTAGATGAGCACAACAAGTGGATAGGATTAAATTTCCAACTCACTCAACACACAAAAACATGTAAGTAGATGGACAATTCAAAAAGCTGAGGATTTAACTACTTCAGAATAAATGTTGGAAGTAAGACGAGTGTAAAATCTGGGTGACTTAACCTAACAAAGCTGTAGAAAGTACCTCATCTTGTCCATCTTGACCGTTCAGCGGAAGACCAAGAAGGCCTCGACCTTGCCTTGCGAAGCTAACCAAAAGAGAAAGATTGGTCTGAGTGGCTTCGCGGTCCCTCAAATGCTCACTACCAGCGAGGTCTTTAATGATGCTAATAAACATACTTCCATCCTCAAATACTCCACAGAAATAAAGCTCCATCAAAAGCCTGAGTGTGCTGCGTTTCTTCATTGCCCGTGAGCTACGATCACCATCAATTTCATCGCCTTTAGCAGGAAAGAAAACTTTCAGTAGCCCTGCCAAAAGTGTTGGCGCAAAGTCTTTGTATCTTTGATGAAGTAAGGAACAGACCTACATACACGACATAACGTCAAAGGACTTTATAATAGTCGTCTTCATAAAACTCTGGACCAACTACATGAGATGTAATTATTACGGCAAGTTTCCATATTTCCTTTCGGTGCTACATGAGAAAATCCTAGCAGCACGCATGAGGAGGAGAAATACTTACCTGCACAGCTGCATTAATGTCTGAACTTTTCAACTTCGCGTCCGTAATTGCAGTCACTGCTTCACTTACGAACTTGCTCAAATTGACGACCCGAAGTTCCTCAAGCAACCCTTCTTTCTGCTCTTCGTTGATCTGCTTCAACTTCTTAATTACTGCTGTATTACGCTTGATGCTTGAATCCAATGTTTTGAAGAAGCTGGCATCTGGCAAAAGTAGCCGGCCGAACAAGGATCATGACTAATAGCTCTTTTAGGCAGGAACCATATACCTTGGTAATGTTAGAAAACTGACTCAAGAGCGCTAGAATATATCTAACTGCACACTCCTCGGTATTTATTCTTAAAGTCGTATATTCCTGAGAATCAGAGCACGACCCAAACCCAACAAGATCGAAAAAACCCTGGACAGGAAAAATCATGTACAAGAATTATGCAGACGAAGGTGGTGAACTACAAGTCTCAGCTATGTGTAAACTACTGCCGAGCTCTTGCCATGAGAACTTTGCTTGGCCATGAAAATGTTCGTGAAACGGACCCACAATTCCGGGGGAGTTTTACACAGAAAGCATTCCCTGACATCAACCGACAAAATCATGTGTGGAAACACACAACAAAAGCTTGGTCTACTAACTCTAGACGAGGAATTCGATAAAATTACCTGGTCTTTCCGGCGCTAAATTAGCTTGACGCAACAAATGCTTAGCCTCAGCAGACTTCTTCAGCTCTTCTGCACGCGCAATTGCTTCCTACCAGACGAGACAGAGCGAAAGAATAAAAATAAAAAAACAAAAAACCTAAATAGCTCGCTTCACAGAAACTCGCGACATTTCAATGAAAATACACTAAAAAACACAAAACATGAACGCCATCAACCGACCAACACTAAGAAAGCCCCGGATGACCTCAAAACCTACAAACTGTACATTATCGTGGAAGAATTAAAATGAAAACACCGCCCCCTTCCACCCACTCTCACCGAACAGTACCTCATTTTCGTCCTTACTCCGATGACCGGCTTCACCGCCATGATCATCGTCATCATGTGCAGCATCCCCACCACCACCACCACCACCTTCACTCATTTCCACGCCTTCCGCCCTGTCCCCTTCCTGCTGTGCAGCGTCCGCCGCTTTCTCCTTGGTGCCCATGACTCCCGACCTAAACCTCACCGCTGAGCGCTAGTGCCGCTTACTATTTCCCCTTGCACACCGCGGAACCGAGCCTCGCATCTCCGGAAACGCAAAGCCCGAGCTTCAATCAAACCCTCTCCTCCCACACACACACAATCATGCTTTACAAATTTCGAATCCAGCTAGTGCAGCGTTGATGGGAGACCATGGTGTCGACGCTATTACCGAGATCCAGCGAGGTTCATCGCTCATTAACCCTCTCTCTCGCTTTCCTTCCTCGTATCGAATCCTCCTCCCTCTCTCTCTTTCTCTCTTTCTCTGGCTATAGATATGCGGCCATGTCTGCGGAATGTCCAGTGCAGTCCAGTCTCCCTCTCCTTCGACTCCCTTCTTCTTCGTCTTCGTCGCCTCTCTTTCCCTCCCTCAGCACTGGGCATACATGGCGTTTACGTTCTAGACGAGGGTGCTCTCGCCGCGGCGCGTTCTCACGTTCCCCCCCGTGAACGAAATCCTTGATAATGAGTGCCCCCTGCTGCTCCAGCCAATGGGATTTTTTGATGCTACATACAAACGTAGACTGGTCAATTTTTTATATCAGTAGATTATCATTTTACACTTTGTATCTGAGACTTGATTTTATGCAATGAAGTGAGAAATTTTTAAACTATGAATCCTGGTTTCTTCTTCTTCTTTTTTCCTTTTCTTTTTTATTTTTTGTAGAACATAAAACATTAGATACTTTGATGGCAAATTTATAAAAATTATCTATGTATATATGTAAAAAATACTATGACTAATGAAACTTTACTATTAAAAGTATACGATATGAAAGTTTACACTAACAAATTTAACTTCCTTACAAGCAAAGAAAAAACCCAATTAAAGTCTGAGAGAAGACACTTATATTATGAATAATCTAAATATATTATTTAATATTTTTCAATGATGTGTCAAAATATTAATGGAAAAAATTTAAAAATAAAATTTCTTAATAAAAAAATAGGATTTATTTATTTTCAAGACTTAAAATTATAATAGTAGAATTTGTCTAATTAAATTCTAATTTTTAAATTTTTATTGAATAATTATTAAAATATTATACATATTTTTGGAAAAAATATGATACTATCACATATAAAAAGTATAGATTGTTAAGGTTTTTTAGAATTAATTAATTACACATTAATTTATTATGAAAAAATATTGTAAGTGGTCATAATATTATTACAGGAATTGATATTATAAAAAAATTAATAATATTTAATTTTTAAAAATCTATCATGGTTTTAAAAGTTATATATATGGAATAAAAATGTAAAACAAGCAACAAAAATGTGAGATTTATTTGTAATTTATGCAACACTTGGTGATTATCTAAGTAAATTTAATATTGGTACTTTAAAATAATATAAATAATATTAATATGCCTTAAGAGGTTTAATGTATAAGTTTTATCCAAACATTTTTCTTACTAATATAAAATTGATTTCAAAAAAAATATTGTATCTATAATTTTTATTTGGATCTATCTAATACTTCTTTTTAAGATAAATTAGGTATTTTAAAATAATAACATTAAAAAAACACATGGCATGACTTTATTTTAGACTAAAAATATACCATTAATGCGATTTTTTTTCTTTTGTAGAAAGGTAGAACTTTCTATCTTTCTACAAACTTTTTTTTTTATATTTTTGTATTTGATATTTTCAACCAATAAATTTAAATTAAGATATGTATCAAGATAGATCTATAAAGAATATAAAATCTAATGTTTAAATATTAAAATAGATACTAGTAATATGTTGAATTAAAATACTAAAAAACTAAAAAAAAATCATAGTTTTCAATGTTACAAAAGCACTAGAATAATAAAAATCTAATAACTAGTATTTTTTTGTAAATCTTTGAGTTATTTATTTATGTCATATTAAAAAAACATTATGTATACATAATTTATTACATATACATAATAAAAATATATGCTGAGATAAAGAAATATCCAGTTTATGATTTTCAAAAAAATAATTTGAAATTTTAATTTTAATAAAGTTGTTGAGGTGAAATTTTTAAAAAATAATCAAATTTGTAGGATAAGAGATCTCAAAGATAAGGTAAGATACATTTATATTATTATTATTATTATTATTATCAGTATCCTTAGATTGTTTTTCAAAAGTTTACTAAGGTTTTATTCCATAAATATATATATATATATATATATATATATATATAATGCAATTATAAATACCAACTAAAGAAGAAAAAAGATACAAAAAAATATCAACGTTTTTATTTTATTTTATTTTATTTTTTATTTATGTACATTATTAAGGTCTTTTCATGTAAAGAAAAATATAGCAGGATTTATTTTGGCTTAACATTGCAATAAGCAGGTACAAAAAATAGATTTCGGCACCTTATATTTTTATTTAGAAGAAACCAATATTTTATTAGACCTATCAATTGTCTCTATACAGAACACAAATAAAACAAATTGACAAACACCTTCAAACATATTTTATATTTATCAACTTATAAAGGAAGTTGGAATCTTATTCTTTCTGGAAACCTTGTCTCTGATAAAGAAAATAATCCATTAAATTTTTTGACTATTTATTTAAATAAATATATTAGAAAAAATTATATATATATATATATAAATAAATAAACATGAGTTATAAAGAAGGATTATATTTGCAACTTTCTAAATATTAAACAGATGTATAGTTATCTTTAGATTTTCCATGTGGCCATAAAACTCCCCCAAGAAGTTTTTTTTGGACCTCAACCATTACTGCAAAAAAGCTCTGCAATTTAGATTTTTATCCTGTTAGTATCATCATTTTAACAACCCTCCACATGACAGTTTTATAAGCATATGAAAAACAATAATTTCTATATGGTTTTAAGCATGAGAAAATAAATTTGATCTATATATTTTAATTTTGATATTTTTATCTTAGTTCTAATTTCCATAGTTGAATATTGTAGTTAAAATTTTAAAATATAAGTTTACAATATATATATATATATATATATATATTAAATTTTAAATAATTAAAATTATATGTCATTTTTTTAAAATGATTATAATAAAATTTACATTTACATTGTTACTCCTTAAAATTGAAAGTATATTCTTAATATTTTCCTTACTATGTTTAAAAATGCTAAATATATTTTTTGAACTAATGTTTTAGATGTTTTCACATCCAAAGTATTAATGTGTAGTTTTCTATAGTTGTTTATTTATTTCAATTCTATTGACAACGTCAAAAAATAACAATCTCAATTAAGATAATATTTGATTGAGAAATTATACTTGCTTAACTTTTAATTTTAGAAAATTATTTACAAAAAAATTCAATAAAAAATAATATAGATTAATTAATAATGAGCTTCTAATTGAAATATAAATTATGAATATGAACTTATTTAAATATATAATTTTATGCTTATTGAAATATTTATATAATAAAATATCATATAATCTATTGTAATATAAATAAAATTAAAATTTAAAGTTGACATTAATTAAATTTGATTTTAAAAATATAATAAATCAAATAATTTAATTTAATTTTATCAATAATAATCTAAAATTAATATTTATTAATCAATAGAATATACCAAATAGGAGAAATAAATATAGAAAAAATGATTTTTTTGTTTTTGACAAAGAAAAAAATGCATTGAAGAATAATAGATAAAATATAAAAGGACATTCAAGTTTTTAACAGCTTATATCTGTGATAAAAATTTAAAAAATATTATTGACCTTATTAGCTATATTTAGTTAATTTTAATTTTTAGACTTATAGATTATTAAACTTCTTAATGGATTTCTAGATTTCATCTAATTTACATGTTTATTCTGGTTCTTGGGATATTGTTTTTTGTTTGAGGTCTCTCTCAATCTCTCAATAAGGCCTTATTTCCATCAATTTGAAGTTGTATTCTTTTCTTACAAATATTTTGGAGCAATCTATTACATTTCATAATGTTTTATCATGTTATTTTTATATTTTGAATTTTACTTCACTTCATTTATTATTATGATTTATCTGAGCATTCTATTGCAACCTAATTACCTATAAGTAAGAGCTTTTAAATAGAAACTATATTTTTAAAACTTAAGAATCTTATAAATATTATTTAGAAAATATCACTTTTTAATATATATAGATAAATATATAATAATTATTTCTATTTCAAGAATTGGCTTTTATTTCAAGAATATTTGAAGTAATTAATATAAAAAGTTATTTTCTAATTACATATTTTTTTGGTTTGAAGAAATTTCTATAATCAATATAATATTCTTTTAAAAAGACCTAATATATATATATATATATATATATATATAGTATTCATAGCATTTGAGTTAAATTAAGCCTTTTAAATATTAATAATTTTTTTGATAAATTAATCAAACAATTATAGGACAATTTTCTTATATGTACACTACATGGTCAACTTATACCACAAGCTACCAATATGTGCAACATGTGGCCAACTTATTGGCCAAGTTTTTAATCTACTAATCAACTATAAACACATATATAGTCAAATCCACTTCTATAAAACTTTATAATAAAAAATTATAAAATCTAATTACATTTATTTATCTCATAATACTTCTTATTTGAATAAATATGTATATTCATGAAATTACTATTTTTTCTAGATATGGATTCTATAAAGAACAATGGTCACATATTGAGAAAGTCAAAAATACAACAAATTGCATTTGCCATATAATCTAATTTTTGTTACTTCAAATATAATTGGTAGGTCATTTCAACTATCAAGAATGTATTATACTAGGGCATGAAGACTACCTTAATATTTGATCATTGTTGAGATCTTTGTAACTCTTTTTGAATAAAATATTTAAAATGCTATCATGGATGGTTTTTATTTTTAATAATACTACTAATATAACAAGATATAGTTAAGATATTTGTATTGTTGACATATAGGGAAAGATAGTTGGAGCTATATTTGAGAAGTTTCTAAAAGTTTCTAAAATTAGAACTAGGTTAATAAATTATATAGGATCTATCATAGAATATTCTAAAAATAGATTAAGATAATTATCTAGGTAGAATCCACCATTAAGAACATTCTAAAAAGTTTCACAATGATAGAATAAAGTATAAATAGAACTAGCTAGGGCCATTTGGACATCTAGTCAAATATAGCTTTGGATTTTTTTTTAAGTAAAATTTGGTTTTTCATTTTTTTGTTCAATTTTGTTTTATTTTCTTTTCTTATAGTCTGCTTTGTCCTACATTGTGATGGAGTTTATGTTTTTGTAGATTAAAAGAATCTTAAATTTTTGAGATAGTTTGGTCTCATTTCATTGGTATCAAAGTAAGTGTTAGACTATTCTTTGGTAGCATGTCGATAGCCATTATCTAATTTGAG